TCACTGAGTCTGCCCCCTGAGTGTGTCCCTTATGGATCTGAGTTGTAATTGGATGGTCCCACTCTGACCACTGGGTACACTGGCTCTTGGATCTAAGGAGGTGCTAATCTAGCCTCTGCCTGAGGCCACCCAGCAGAAGCCAGCTGTAAAGCAATGCAAGTTGCCCTGGGGCCTTGGGGCAGCTGCCATTTGTTAAGTAATTTTTCAGATTACAAAGGGCTGGGCCTTTCATATGCAAAAGCCTCCATGCAGGGCTTGGGCGGGGCGGGGTCCCAGGGGATCAACAGGGCGGGCGGAGCGAGCAGTATGGCTGCTCTCAGTCCTGACCTCAGAGGCCCCGGCAATTGCTGGGAGCACCTCTGAGAGAAAGCTGCCCTTGAGTTCCGACCGATGCCAGACAGTCCCGTTTCTCCCGTATGAGTCTGGGTCCCCAGAGACTAGCCCGGAACTGGAGCTCAGAGCCTGAGACTCCCTCCTGATTGAAAAAGACAATTGTGTCCTCAGCCACCAGCCCTCTCCTCATGCACTTCCGCATCTTTGTATTTTACTTCCCACCGCACCTCCTCTGAGTCTTGGTATGCTTTTCTCTTTCCTTCCAGTGGTAGAATTTCCACTCAGCCAGCCTTCCTGTGGTTCTGGATGATGTCCGTTCCGTCTTTTAGTTGTATTTTTGAAGTGGTTGTGCGAGGCAGCAATCTCCGGTGTTTACCTGTGCCGCCATCTTGGTTTCTCCTCCTCAATCCTATTTTAAATGCAGGAAAATTAACTCAAAAGTTTATTGTGGATTCATATTAAAAAATGGAGGCCAATCGGATAAATTTCACTAAAACAAACCAATCTAAGTTGAGAGTTGAAAAATATAGTGGTTTGATGGATTATCTCACATCTAGATCTGAAAATGACAATGTGCTGATTGTTAAAATGATAATATTTCCATCATCTTTTGAGGGTAGTCCCAGAAATATGCAGCAGCAATAACAGGATGCTATGTCAATTGTAATAAAGTATAGCAAGCCCAATTTATTCATAACCATGGCATGCAACCCCAAATGGGCAGATATTACAAACAATTTACAACACTGGCAAAAAGTTGAAAACAGATCTGACTTGGTAACCAGAGTTTTTAATATTAAGCTGAATGCTCTTTTAAATGATATATGTAAATTCCATTTATTTGGCAAAGTAATAGCTAAAATTCATGTCATTGAATTTCAGAAACATGGACTGCCTCACGCTCACATATTGATATTAGTGAATCCAAATTACAAATAGATGATGACATTGACAGTATAGTTAAGGCAGAAATTCTGGATGAAGACCAGCATACTCGACTTTTTCAAATTGTAAAATCAAATATGGTACATGGACCATGTGGAATACAAAATCCAAAGAGTCAATGTAGGGAAAATGGAAAATGCTCAAAGGGATATCCAAAAGAATTTCAAAATGCAACCATTGGAAATATTGATGGATATCCCAAATACAAACGAAGGTCTGGTAGCACCATGTCTATTGGAAATAAAGTTGTCGATAACACTTGGAATGTCCCTTAAAACCCATATTTGTGCCTTAAATATAACTGTCATATAAACAAAGTCTGTGAATTGATTAAAAGTGTCAAACATTTATTTAAATACATCTATAAAAAGCACGATTGTGCAAATATTCAAATTTCTGAGAAAAAATTTTATCAATCATGACGAAGTACAGGACTTCATTGACTCCAGGTATATGAGCACTCCTGAAGCTGTTTGGAGACTTTTTGCAATGTGAATGCATGACCAATCTCATACAATCACAAGATTAGCTATTCATTTGCCAAATAAACAAAATTTGTATTTTCATATTGATGATTTTGTTGAAGTTTTAGATAGGGCTAAAAGGCATAACTCAACTTTGATGGCTTGGTTCTTATTGAATAGAGAAGATTCTGACGCACGTAATTATTATTATTGGGAGATTCCACAGCATTATGTGTTTACTAATTCTTTATGGACAAAACACTGAAAGGGTGGGAATACAGTATTAGGTAGACTGTTCACTGTGAGCTTTAAAAAAGCAGAATGATATTACCTTAGACTTTTGCTTCTGCATGTAAAAGGTGCAATAAGTTTTGATGATCTGAGAACTGTAGGAGGTGTATTTATGATACATTTCATGAAGCTGCTAAAACATCGAGGACTATTAATTGATGACACTATCTGGAAAGATATGATTGACAATGCAATCATCCTTAATATGCCCAAACAACTATGGCAACTTTTGCATACATATGTGTGTTTGGATGTTCTGCTGCAAACAAATTATGGGATGAGAATAAATCTCATTTTATTGAAGATTTCTGTTGGAAATTACACCAAAGAGAAGGTGCCTGTGTGAACTGTGAAATGCATGCCCTTAACAAAATTCAAGAGGCATTCACATTGCATAGAATGAAATGTTCACATCTCAGACTTCCATACTATCCTTTATTAATGAATACAAATACATGTGATGAATCATACAAGCGACAATAGGCAGAGGTTTGGATAAATTCTCTGAATGATGAACAGTTGGCAGCCTTTCAGACTATAACTTCAGCCATTGAAGATCAAACTTTACACCCTAAATGCTTTCTCTTGGATGGTCCAGATGGTAGTGGAAAAACATATCTATATAAAGTTTTAATACATTATATTAGAGGTCATGGTGGTACTGTTTTACCCACAGCATCTACAGGAATTGCTTCAAATTTACTTCTCGGTGGAAGAACCTTTTATTCCCAATATAAATTACCATTTCCATTAAATGAAACTTCAATTTCTAGACTTGATATAAAGAGTGAAGTTGCTAAAACCAATAAAAAGGCCAAACTTCTCATTATTGATGAATACACCATGGCATCCAGTCATGCTATAAACACCATAGACAGATTACTAAGAGAAATTACAAATTTGAATGTTGCATTTGGTGGGAAAGTTCTCCTTCTAGGAGGTGATTTTTGACAATGTCTCAGTATTGTACCGCATGCTATGCGATCGGCCATAGTACAAATGGGTTTAAAGTACTGTAATGTTTGGGGATGTTTCAGAAAGTTGTCTCTTACTATAAATATGAGATCAGAGGATTCTGCTTATAGTGGATGGTTAGTAAAACTTGGAGATGGCAAACTTCATAGCAGTTTTCATTTAGGAATGGATATTATTGAAATCCCCTGTGAAATTATTTGTAATGAACCTATTATTGAAGCTACCTTTGGAAATACTATATCTGTAGATAATATTACAAATATACCTAAATGTGCAATCCTTTGCCCAAAATATGAGCATGTTCAAAAATTAAATGAAGAAATTTTGGATATACTCGAGGGAGATTTTCACACATATTTGAGTGATGATTCCATTGACTCAATAGATGATGCTGAAAAGGAAATTTTTCCCATCGAATTTCTTAAGTAGTACTCCTTTGGGAATGCCATATCATAAATTAAAATTGAAAGTGGGTGCAATCATCATGCTATTGATAAATCTTAATAGTAAATGGGGTCTTTGTAATGGTACTAGATTTATTATCAAAAGATTACGACCTAACATTATCGAAGCTGAAACAGTAACAGATCTGCAGAGGGAAAGGTTGTTCTGATTCCAAGAATTGATTTGTCCCCATCTGACACTGGCCTCCCATTTAAACTAATTCGACAACAGTTTTCCATGATGCCAGCATTTGCAATGACTATTAATAAATCACAAGGACAAACTGTAGAAAAAGTAGGAATATTTCTACCTGAACCTGTTTTCGGACATGGTCAGTTATATGTTGCTTTCTCTCGAGTTCGAAGAGTGTGTACGTTAAAGTTGTGAATTCTTCATCAGAAGGGAAATTAGTCAAGCACTCTCAAAGTGTTTTCACTCTTAATGTGGTGTACAAGGAAATATTAGAATAAATTTAATCACTTTATCAGTCATTGTTTGCATCACTGTTGTTTTTATATCATGTTTTTGTTGTTTTTATATCATGTCTTTGTTGTTGTTATATCATTTTGTTATTTATTTATTAATAAATTTATATATTATTTTCATATACATTTTACTAATTTCCTTTCATCTCTGACACTTCTATTATAGAGAAAGGGCAAATAGCAATATTAAAATTTCCTCTAATTAATTCCCTTTTAATGTGCATGAATTTCATGCACCAGGCCACTAGTAAATAAATAAAAACACAGAATCATTGTAATAAACTCCCTAAAGAACATGTAAGTATAGTCCATGGACACAGACAACAACATGGTTAGGGCCAGGAGGAAGGGAGGGAGGATTTGAGTGGAGGATGTAGAAGGAGAGGTAAATGGGGGACATCTACAATAATTTCAACAACAACAAAAATAATAAAGGTCACAATAAGTTTGAAGGGTTAAAAAAACAGAATCATTGGGCATAGATGAATTATAGCATAAAACAGAAGGCATCATGAAATATGGATGAGTGATATAAAGTTGATAATTTGTCATGTTAAGAAATATCATTTTCTAATTCTTCATATTTAGAGAATTCAAAGTAAAATAAATTTTGAATATCTCATAAAAGTTACTGACTTATTAACATACAGCAGATTCATAAAAGATAAGTAAGAACTAATCATAATGAAATTGTTAAGTTGTAACTTTCATTTCATGTCTTGCATTTAACTATTTCTGTCTAGAAGAGCCAGAGAGCTCCTGGAGGCTGGCTTTGGTAGCCTCCAGCATTTCAGAAAACCCTACTACCAATATAGTCAAACCTACTCTAGGGATAGAAAAAACACACAGTCTAGCACATTGTAGATAACTAATCAATTTCTATTAAAAAGCATGATTAAATAAGTGGGTTTATTTATTTTTTGTTTGCCAACATGTATGTAAAGCATCTGTCTATAATATATACAATACATATTAGTATTATATAATGTTTATATCATTAAAATATATATCCAATGTAAATGAAAGTTGGAAGATATTTACGAGTATTTGTTTTGCCTTTCAGGAGTGTAACCAAATCCAAGACAATTGCTGTGACTCTACCACATGTGCACTAAAAGCCGGTTTAGCTTGTTTAACGGGAGCGTGCTGTACCAAGTGCCAAGTAAGAGTTTTCTTAAAATTTTGGTATTACCTATATAAGTAAAGTTGTCATTCTTTATAATATCTATATGTTTACATTCTGCTCTACTCAATATAATTTACCTCACACCCTCAGTTTTCGCCAAAAGGAACTGCATGCAGGAGTTCCATACATGAATGTGATCTCACTGAATATTGCAATGGATCATCTGGGGAATGTCAAGAGGACTTTTATGTTCAGGATGGTCATCCATGTGAAGAGGATAAATGGCTCTGCATACAGGGACAGTGTAAGAGTATGGAATCACAATGTTCGGAAGCATTTGGTGAAGGTATTTGTTATAATTTTATTTCCTGTATATACATTTTTCTGGAAACTGAAATGAAATAGGTGTTGATATGCAATCATGATTTTTTAAATGTAATTATTAAATTTATTGGGATGAAATTAGTTAATATGATTATAAGGTTTCAGCTGTGGATTTCTATGTTACAAAATTTATATATTGATCTGTGTGACCAGCACCCAAAGTCAAATCTCCTCCTGTCACTATATATTAGGACCCCTTTCACCCTCATCCCCTTCCCTCTGGCAACCACCACACTGCTGTTTATGTCCATGAGTTTCAGTTTTATATCACTCATATGAGTAAAATCATATGGTTCTTAGCTTTTTCTGACGGACTTATTGCACTTAGCATAACATTCTCAAGGTCCATCCATGTTGTCACAAATGACAGTAGTATTTTGTCTCTTCTTATGACTGAGTAATAATAGTACATATGTACCACATTTTCTTTATCCAACCCTCTATCAAAGGACACCTCGAATGTCTCCATGTCTTGGCGACTGTGAATAATGCCATAATGAACACAGGGGTGCATATAGCTTAGTGAACGAATGTTTTTATTTTTTTGGTAGGTACCCAGAAGAGGGATTGTTGGGTCATATGGTAACTCTATTTTTAGTGTTTTCAGAAACCACCATACTGTTTTCTATAATAGTTGTACCAGTTTACATCCACGCCAGCAGTGAATGAGGGTTCCTTTTTCCCCCCACAAGCCCTCCAACACATTATCTGTCTTGTTGATAATAGCCATTCTAACAGATGTGAGGTGATAGCTCATTGTAGTTTTGATTTGCATTTTCCTATTAGCTAGTGAAGTTGAACATCTTTTCACATATCTGATGGCCGTTTGTATATTTTCTTGGGAGAGGTGTCTGTTCAGGTCCTCTGAGGATGGTTGTAATTTAAAATGACAGGCAATGGAAAGTGTTAGTAAGAATGTGGCAAAATCAGAACTTTTATGCATTGCTGGTGGGAATAGAAAAATGGTGTAGCAGCATTAGAAAACAGTTTGGCATTTCCTTAAAATGTTAAGCAGAGCTATTTCATTTCTGGTATATACCTAAGAGAATTGAACATACATGTTCCCATAAAACCTTGTATACAAGTATTCATTGCACCATTATTCATACTAATAAAAATGTAGAAATAACCCAAATGTCCGTCAGCTGATGAATGAGTAAAGCAAGTATAAAATATTACTATGCAATAAAATATTAATTTAACAAAGTGCTGATATTTGTTAAATGTAAATACATTTTGAAAACATATGGCAAGCTAAAGAAGCTAGCCACAAAGGACCACAAAAATGATTTCATTTCTATTAATATGCATATAGGCAAATGTATAAAGACAGAAAGTAGATTAATGGTTGCCTAAGACTAGAGGAGTATGAGGGGAAGGAATGTGTTTGTATGTTGTTTGACATATATACAATTTAACATTTATAACACATTTTTAAATTTTTATTTTATTTTTAAGGAAATTTATCAGGGTACAATTGGTTAATAAGGATTTAAGTGTACATTTTCATGATATGTGATTTGTATATTGCATTGTGTGCTCACCAACCAAAGTCAAATCATTATAACTACATTTATTGTCACAATTTTTTAAAAAATATTTAAAGTAGACTTTTAATTGAATTTATTAAGGTGACATTGATTCACAAAACTACACAGGTTTAAAAAAAAACTATACAGGTTTCAAGAGTACAACTCAACACACTGCATTATGCACCCACTGTCCACAGCAAATTCTCTTTCCATCTCTATCCTCCCTCTGTCCACTTCTACCTACCCCTTTCCCTCTGCCCATCACCAGATAGTATTATTTATTTATCTTTATTTTTGAAAGTATTGCAATTGTTTCCCTTTTTTCCACATTGACTCCATCCACCTTGCACCCTCCGTTCCTAGGCCTTCCCTATACTATATGTGTTTGTTATTTTTTTGCTTAATCCCTTCACCTTCTTTCATCCAGTCCCCTAACCCCCCTTCCCTCTGACAGTTGTCAGTCTGTTCTTGGTATCCATGAGTCTGTTTCTATTTTGTTTGTTAATTTATTGTGCTCCTTAGATTCCACATATCAATAGATCATATGGTATTTGTCATTTTCTGACTGGCTTTTTTCACTTAGCATAATAATCTCCAGGTCTATTCATGCTGTTGCAAAAGGTAAGTATTCCTATTTTGAATTCTTTTACAGCTGAGTAATATTCCATTGTGTAAACAGACTACAGCCTTTTCATCCACTCATCTACGGAAGTGCACTTAGGCTATTTTCAGATCTTGGCTATTGTAAATACCAATACAGTGAAAACAGGGGTTCATATAGTCTTTTGAATTAGTGTTTCGGGTTTCTTAAGGTATGTTTTCAGAAGTGAGATCACTGGGTCAAAAAGCAGTTCCTTTTTAAAAATTTTTTGAAGAAACTCCATACTTTTTTCCACAATGGCTTCATCAGTTTGCATTCTCATCAATAGTGCCCAAGGGTTCCCTTTTCTCCACATCCTCCCCAACACTTTTTGTTTAATGATTTATTAAAGATAGCCATTCTGACAGGCATGAGGTAACTTTAATTTGCATCTTTCTGATGATTAGTGATCTTGAGCATTTTTTTTCATATTTTTCTTGGCCATCTATATGTCCTCTTTGGAGAAGTGTCTATTTAGGTCATTTGCCCGTTTTTTAATTGAATTGTTTATCTTCCTTTTGTTAAGTTGTATGAGTTCCTTATATATTTTGGATATTACCCCTTTGTCAGATGTATTATTGCCAAATATATTCTCCCAATCTTAATTTTTCCTTTTGATATTATGAAAATTGGAATTGTTTAATTTCCTTTTAGGATTTTTCATTGCTAATATATAGAAGTGAAGTGCAACTGATATTTATGTGTTAATTTTGTATCTTAAAACTGAGCTGAAGTTATTAATTCTAACAGGTGTGTGTGTGTTTGTCTGTGTGTAACTTTAGAGGATGTGGAGAAAAGGGAACCCTTGGACACTATTGATGAGAATGCAAACTGATGAAGCCATTGTGGAAAAAAGTATGGAGTTTCTTCAAAAAATTTTTAAAAAGAAACTGCTTTTTGACCCAGTGATCTCACTTCTGAAAACATACCTTAAGAAACCCAAAACACTCATTCAAAAGACTATATGAACCCCTGTTTTCATTGTATTGGTATTTACAATAGCCAAGATCTGAAAATAGCCTAAGTGCACTTCCGTAGATGAGTGGATGAAAAGGCTGTGGTCTGTTTACACAATGGAATCCTACTCAGCTCTGATAATATATAATTATCACATTTATGAACACATACTTTTACTTATTTTATTCCAATTTAGATGTATATTATTTCTTTTAGTTGCCCATTGCTCTAACAATCAGGCCTTCTATTACTGTGATGAATAGAAGGATGAAAGCTTATATCCTTGTCTTATTCCTTATCATAGAGGAAAAGCTTTCAGTCATTCACCATTAAGTATTATTTCAACTGTATGGTGGTTTTTTTTTTTTAATAAATGGCCTTCATTATATTAAGTACTTTCCTTCTACTTCCAGTTAGTTGAGTGTTTTTTTGTAATTAAAAGGTGTTGAATTTTGTCAAATGTTTTTTTTGCATCAATTAACATGATTATGTGGTGGGGGTTTTTCTCTTTCATTCTTCTATTTTGGTATATGACTAATTGACTGATTTATTTTTGTATTTTGAACCATCCTTGCATTTCAGAAATAAATCCTACTTGGTATTTATAGTGCTCTTAATATGCTCTATAATTCAGTTTATAAGTATTTTGTTGTCTTTTTAAAAATTCATATTCATGGTGGTCATTAATCTATAGATTTCTTGAGGATTTTTATGTTTACATTCATGAGGAATATTCTCGAATTTTTCTTTCTTGAAATGTTTTTGGGTTGTTTTACTATCAAGTCTCATTGAATAATTCATTGAAGTATTTCCTATTCATATTTTTTGGAAGAGTCTGTGATGCACTGTATTAGTTGTTTGAAATTTTTATGGAATACATTAGTGAAGATATTTGCACTCAGACATTTTTTGTGGGAAATTTTCTGTTAATAATTAAAATTTATCAATGTGGCCGATCTTTTCAAATAAACAAATTGTTTTATTGATTTTCTCTATCATTTGTCTATTCTCTGTTTTATTATTTCTGCTATAATATTATTTCTTTCCTTCTGTTTCCTTTATGTTTAGATTTTTTCAGTATCTTAAAATGGAATGTTAGATTATTGATTTTAAATAATTTTTCTTTCCTAATTTAGTTATTTGCAGTTATAAATTTCTAAGCACTGTTTTCAATGGTTCTTATACATTTTTGTATGCCATGCTTTTATTTCCATTCAACTCAAAGTATTTTCAAATTTCCCATAAGGTTTCATTTTTATTTCTTTTATTTAGGTGTGTTTAATTTCCACATTATTGCATTTTTCTTATGTACTATTGTTATTGATTTTTAAATTCAATTTCGTTATATTCAGAGGACATAATATGTAAAATTTCAAGCCTTTTTAGTTGTATGCATGGTCTATCTTGAAGAATATCCAAATGCATGGAGAAGAATAGGCATTCTGCTGTTGTTGGATAGATATCTGTTATGTCTAGTTTATTGGTAGTATTGTTCTAATTTTGTATTTTCTTGCTGATCTTCTGTTTATTTGTTCTATTCATTATTGAAAAGTTGGCAGACATCAACCATGTACTCTAAGTATGGCACTTTTACAAAAGTTCAAAATAGGTCAGGCCATTTCATTAACTGAAACGCTGTTGGCGTTGGGCTACCATAGAGGAGATATAAGAATATTTCCAAACTAAAACGTCACAGTTCCCTTTACCCTATAAACTGTTTTACCCAGGATTCCACCAAGAAACAAAATCTGAAAAAAATTAAATTATTTTTTCTATATGTATAACTGCAATCCATCTACCTATCAAAATTAAGGAATTGGCTTATGTAATTCTGAGGGTAAAATGTTTGTTTGTTTTATGAGAGATACTGGAGAGCTGAAACAAAGCAGATGGAAAGTGCAAAGATGATGTCCACTATCCTCCATCCCCTCAGAGAACATCAGTAAATCCCTAGATGTATGCCAAACTACATGCCTTTACCTCAGACCAAAGCTCCAGGAACAGCCAAGAGGCGCTAGACCTGTGTAAAAGCTCCCCTCTGGAAAATATTGGTACTTTGGAGCTGGGCAGAGGGCACCCCTCCTCTGAGGTTTCTAAAGGATTACAGTAAGCCTTTAGATGTGTGTTTCAGTATATATGTAGCATGGTTCTCTTAATTATTTTTAAAAGATTCTTTTATTTTATATTCTTAACTTTAATTTTTTGCCTTTGAGAAGCCCTGTTTTAAGTCTAAATGTGTCTTTCTCTTCTAAGAGTGGTATATTTACTAAAACATCTACCCCTGCTACCAGAGCCCAGAAAGTGCGTAAGAATCTGCACTGGTTTATAGAAGTCATCTCTTTATATTTTAATCCCCTGCTTTTCACATTTTTAGAATCAGGAAAAAGCCTTGAAAGGAGACTAAACTATATGTTAATGCCCCTTGAGACTCTAGTTTTGTCACTATAGTTATGAAAGATCTCCAAATTTGTCATATTTTGTGTCCACCAGCAATTGGCTGCTTCTCTTGCTTAGCTGACACTTTTGACTTCTCACCCATGCCAGGTTTGTAAATGACCTCTGGACAAAATCAACTGCTTATTTTCTGTTCACTACTGCTGTTAGGAGTTTCAACAGATATCCTAATGTGTCTACTGGGGCTTCTCTTTTGGTGTGTCATAATGGAGTGGTTAAATCTTTCTATCAAAGAGTTTTGACTTAATCCTAGAATAGAACTGATGATGGAGGGTTATGTTAAGTAAACTGCCCTTTAAGTAGGTTGTATCTTAAGAGAATTAAATACATTCTGTCTATGGATTGGATAGCAAATGTGAAGATGAATCAATTGTGGCTCCAATACTTTTTGGTCTGAAGTACTTATGATAAAAACCAAAGATATAAGTTGACTGGCTTGACTTGAAAAGATATTTATGCAAACACAAATTATTGACTAATAAGATATTCTTTAAATTTCTTACAGACATGTGTTTCTATACTTACTAACAATTTAAAAATAAACTGAATACAATGCTTATATCTAAGGTATTTGGATAGTAAGAATATTTTAACTTCTAAATATTTCATTGAAGTGGTTTTGTGTGATCTTAAACCTACTTTTTATTTTCAATTTATAGTACAAGATTATTTTGTGCAATATATATTGTAAACTATTTTAAAATGCCAAATTCATTTGTTAATTATTTTAAAATTAATATAAGTTCAATGTGACTAACCATACTTTTCTTTTTCAGCTTTAGGTGCAGCTCCTCCAGAGTGTTTTAAATACCTTAATTCTATGACTGATAGATCTGGCAGCTGTGGTGCAGATGCTTCAGGATACAAGAAGTGTGATCCTAAGTATGCTTTACAAAACTTAAGAAACTTTATTTTTGCCTTAAATTTGAAAATACCACCACATAAGGTTATGTGTAATAAAAATTTCACCTGGCCACAAAGACTTCATTTAATCAAATTAGAATTATTTGAAATACAGAATGTCTGTGCTTCTGTTTCTCATATATCCAAATTACCCTTAGTATCTCCCGATACACTGTTTAATTTACACATAGATTAATTAATTATCCATTAGTTAGATTGACTGATTTTTTTTATTTTTCATGCTGTCACTTTAATTTTACAAAGGATGACCATTCTTATAGTAATGAAACGAAAACAACACATGCATTTTTACATTTTTACTACCCAGGAAGTAGTAAAGCACTGTGTTTAAGAACATGTGCTCAAGAACATGTGCTGTACAGCTAGACACCATAGTTTCAAATGCTAACCATACCATTTATCTACTTGAATGACCTTGGACATATGTTTCACATATATAAAATATAAATATTAATTTCACTAACATCATTGGTCTGATGCCAGTGGGGAGTTTCAGTAGTCTAGGAAAAGCACTTAAAATGGGACTGACATATGGTATGCACACCACAAAGTACATCTTAGTACATTTACAAATTGCTTTTCCATATACTCAAATCCAGAATACACAGAAGTGTGTTTTATAATTGCTAAAGCACATACTGACCAAAGAAAACCTTCTAACTAATATGACTACGTTTTCCTTTAAATCCCTGGTAATTTTTATAGTAGTTGCTACAAAGTACTTCTCTGCTAATTGCCATATCTAGGTCATTTTGATATTGGTATCCAGTGATTTATTTGCATCCTGACTATGTCACATTTTAATTTTTTATATGCCTAGCACTTTTTTATTTTATAATGAATACTATGAATAATATACAATGGAAATTTTGTGTTATTTTTATGCATTTCAGAAGGCTAATGAATTTTGATATGGAAGGGATTGAACATAATTGGACTCATAAATAGTATCTCTCTATGAGCAGCAGCTGAAAATAGTGTTCTTTATCTTTAAGATACACTTTAATAATTCCCTAGAGTGTTCATTGTACATGCTTAGTTAGTGGTCAGAAAGGGTTTAGGGTGAAGTTCATATACACATCTTAGTGCTCAGTCCCTTTTAATTTTCAGTCACCAAATTGATATTAAGCTCATATTCTAATTCTGCCTTTTGATTTTTCAAGCTAAGGATATTTAAAATGTTCTCATGGATTATTTTTAAAGCCACAGTCCAAAATGCCTCATATGGAATTTCCATTCTTATGGCTCAATTATCATTCAATTCTTCCCTCTCTGTTTACATTTCAAAGCTTTCAGTGTGTGTGTGTGTGTGTGTGTGTGTGTGTGTGTGTTTGTGTTAGATTAGAATTCTACTCTAACTCCAACCAACTTCAACCTACTTCTTAACTGTATAAGTGATTCTTAAGTCAAGTTCTGTGTTAATACCTTCCAGCTAAAAACCACAAGGAACCCACCTGCAATTGAACAAGTTTGGTTTCTTACAGCTTCTAGTCAGTGAGACTTTACACTATGGGAAACTGTGAAACATCTTAGCTCCAGGGTTTTAGAGACTAATTATAGGACTTGAGCTTGTGTTAAAGTGACTTTCAGTAGGGTTTCAGGAAGTGGATCATTGCTCTGAATTGGATGTTTTCAGGAAGTGAAAGTAATTCTGTGATCGGATATATTAATAAATCATATGTGAAGAAGGAAAACTAGAGAGTGAAGCTAAAGCTGTACTCTCTCTCTCTCTCTCTCTATATATATATATAAAAGCCTAAGCGACCATCTGACCGTCCGACGGGTAGCTAGGATGTGCAATGACCACCAGGGGGCATACGCTCAACACTGGAGCTGCTGAGCTGTGGTGACTTGGCAGCGGTGGTTCTCGGGTGATGCACCTGAAACCAGAGAGGAGGGAGCCAGATTCCAGGGTGTGTCACCCGAGAACCACCCTCTCGCAATCTGGGACCCCTTGGGAAATGTTGGAGAGCTGGTTTTGGCCCGATCCCCGCAGGGCAGGCCGAGGTACCCCACTGGTGTACAAATCCGTGCACTGGACCTCTAGTTGGTAATAAAACAACAGTAACTCATATTGGCTGGATGAGAGGGATGTTTGGTAATTTTGTTGCTTGGACAATGTTTATTTCTTGTCTTCCTATGTTCAGAGATGATTTATGCTGTGGACTTTTTTTTTTTTTTTCTTGATCGGCATAGTCACTGAATGGCTTTACCTAAAGTTGATATTCTTATACTGGCCTGTATTTAACAGGTAAATACCATGGTCTAGCAATGAGGGCAACGTAGCTTGTATCAACTTCAAGGCCTTGCTGTAATATCAGACCTTCACTGAATGCCAGAGGCTAGTTTTCTCTCTTAAATTTTCCTCTTTTGCTAAAAAGGCAAAAAATCAGAAATAGAAAATTGATCCTCCCACCCCTAAAATTGTTCTAACATATCTATATTTTCAATATTGCTAAGATTTTATGCTGAGTAGAAGGTTATTTAGAGAACATGGTATGTAGTTGGGCTGGGATTAGTCTCTCTAGTGCAGGAGAATTTGTTGACTCCTCTGACAGCAATGGATGTGTGGTTGACTTATGACCTCAAACAGAACTCATGGACCAAACAAAAATGTGATGGTATAACATGTGCCACAAACAGATATGGACAATAATCCCTTAGACATGATTTTGAGGATATCCATTTTGTTAAAATACTGCGTATACTTTAAATAATGGACCTAGTGATAGCCCCACAGTATATAATTTGTTTACTTTGTTTATTAATGTCACTTTGACCCTTGAGCTCTTACTTTTGAAAGTACTCAATTAAAAGGTAAATAGATGTTAAATTTAGCTTAGCAAATATTTAGGAGTTTAGATAAAAAATATTTAGGAGTTTAGATAAAAAATATTTAGGAGTTTAAATGTAAACAGTTTATTCTTGTTTTTCATTATATAAAACTAGTGGCCCAATGCACGGATTTGTGCACATTGAAAGGAAATTATTTAGAAGATGGCTGGTGGGGCGGGACTGGGTGAGACTAGCCAGACAGGCCCTGGAGCCAACCTCCCACAGGCCCTCCCTGGCTGGCTGCACCTGGGGCAGCGCCGGGGCTCAAAGGGCATCTGCAGTCATCACAGCTCAGCAGTAAAGCAGATTTGGGCGACAGTGCTCCAGCAACAACAAAAGCCAAGGCTGAAGGTGGAATTGCCTTTTTTTAATTTAAATTTTTCATTGTTGAAAATATTACATATATCTCCTTTTTCCTCATTGACCTCTCCCTGGCCACTCCCACCTCCCAGCACATACCCTCACCACCTTACTGTCTGTGTCCATTGGTTATGCTTATATGCATGCATACAAGTCCTTTGGTTGATCTCTTAAGCCCCAACTCCCCTCCCCTCCCCTGCCTTCCCTCTGAGGTTTGACAGTCGGTTTGGTGCTTCTCCGTCTCTGGATCCATTTTTGTTCATCAGTTTATGTTGTTCATTATATTCCACAAATGAGTGAGATCATGTGATATTATCTTTCTCTGACTGACTTATTTCACTTAGTATAATTCTCTTCGTGTCCATCCATGCTGTTGCAAATGGTAAGAGTTCTTTCTTTTATATAGCAGTGTAGAATTCCATTGTGCAGATGTACCACAATTTTCTAAACTACTCATCTGCTGATGGGCCCTTAGGCTGTTTCCAAATCTTAGTTATTATGAATTGTGCTGCTATGAACATAGGGGTACATATATTATTTGTGATTGATGTTTCTGATTTCTTGGGTTATATTCCTAGAAGTGGGATTACTGGGTCAAATGGGATTACTATTTTTAATTTTTTGAGGAAATGCCATACTGTTTTCCACAGTGGTTGCACCAGTCTGCATTCCCACCAGCAATGCATGAGGGTTCCCCTTTTTCCACATTCTTACCAACACTTGTCATTTGTTGATTTGTTGATGATAGCCATTCTGACAGGTGTGAGATGGTACCTCATTGTCATTTTAATTTGCATCTCTGGGATCATTAGTGACTCTGAGAATGTTTTTATATGTCTCTTGGCCTTCTGTATGTCCTCTTTCAAAAAGTGTCTATTTAGTTCCTTTTCCTATTTTTTTTTTTGGATTGTGTATTTTCCTTTTGTTAAGTTATATGAGTCCCCTATTAATTTTGGAGATTATTAATACTTTTTCTCATTTTCTGGTTACTTTCATAATTTTTGTGCATCATAGTGCTATCATTATGATGTATTTTAGTGGTTATATGTTAGTATTTATTAAGTAAAATATTTCAAAGTCTTTACCCATAATGGTGAGAAGTAGGCATTATGTTTAAAAACTGAAAAGGATAAACTTTGTTAATTTTTTAGTATAGAATAAACTGGAAATTGATTATGTCTAAGAATCAAAAAAGTAAAAGAATCATTACAAAAATATCAGGTTATCTAGGAAGTAGCTCATCATTACTAAAATGTTCCATTATTATCAATGCAGGTAAGACCCTCATTTTTTTTGTGTTTCACAATTAATTGCATATAATTTTTTCAGAACTTCAGTGTTTTATTTAAATCTTTTTGCTTTAGAAATGATATTCTAATATTTATTTGTATTTAAAACTAATGATTTTCATTTATTTGTAAATTATAGTGATGTGATGTGTGGAAAATTAATATGTAAACATGACGGTGAAAATATACTTGAAAGTAGCAGCGCCATTATTATTTATACTAATGTAAATGGAAATATCTGTGTCGCATTGGAATATAAATATGATCATGCTGAGAGCAATAAGATGTGGGTAAAAGATGGAACTGTTTGTGGTACAAATAAGGTATGTATGCTTTTAGTCTCAAATGACTTTCTAATTTATACTCTATTTTTAAATGCATGATTAATATTTTCCTCATAATTTAAGTACACATTCAATTTCATAAGTAAAAAATTGAAAAATTTTAAATGAGAAAAAACTAAAAAAGAAAAAATATATAATCTGTTTTCATGCATATATGATATCACCATGAATATTTTATTACCTTTTTTCTTAAATTTTTTTTACGTTCACTGATCTGAGAATCATATCGTTCATTCACTGTATTTATTTTGTTAAATTATAATGCACAGAGTATTTCTAATGTTATGACCTATCTTATGATATAATTACTTTAAAATAGCTGTTAAATAATATGTTACCACTTAAGTGATAACATTAATCCTATATAGTAAAGAGGGAGTATGCTAATTGACCATCACACCCTCACAAGATGGAGGTGCCCAGTCCCCTCTGCCCCTCCCCTGGCTTTGGCTCCTCCTGTACCCCCCACTGACTGAGGCTCATGCAAGCAGGGCAGGCTGAAGTGTAGGCAAGCCTTGGATGGCATCTGCCCAGCCTCCCAGGGCCAGCCCAAGACTCAGGTAACCAGGGCTGGCCAAGGCTTGTGCTATTGGCAGTGGCAGCAGCAGAGGTATGATGGGGGTGTCACCTTCCCCTGATTTCCAGGTTGCCTCCCACACCTGAGGGCTCCTGGACTGTGAGAGGGGGCAGGCCAGGCTGAGGGACCTTCCCTCCAGTGCATGAATTTTTATGCACCAGGACTCTAGTCTATAATAATCTATAATAATAAAAGCACAATAGGTTAATTAGATGAAATGTTCTTCTGGACATCCTTCTGGATAACCTTCCAGAGGAAACCAAGGCTGCAAGGAAAGACTGGGTACCTGGTGCCTGCCGGCGGCCTGAGAGAAGCTGGTATCGGCAGCCGGGGGACTAAAGGCCTACTCTTGCAAAAATTTTGTGCATCAGGCCTCTAGTATAGAATGAATAGAGTAAAGCAAAAATTAATAGAAGGCACATATACGATGAGTAACTACTCTTTCTATTTTTATGAACATTCTATCCAATCTCTCTCTCTCTATCTCTCTCTGAGAATGTAATAGAATCTACAGACATTGTATATACACTAGTAGCCCAGTATATGAAATTCGTGCACATTAAAAGGGAATTAATTGCCCTAACCAGTTTGGCTCAGTGGATAGAGCGTCGGCCTGCGGACTCAAGGGTCCCAGGTTTGATTCTGGTCAAGGGCATGTACCTTGGTTGCGGGCACATCCCAGTGGGGAGTGTGCAGGAGGCAGCTGATCGATGTTTCTCTCTCATTGATGTTTTTCACTCTCTATCCCTCACCCTTCCTCTCTGTAAAAAATCAATAAAATATATTTTTTTAAAAAGGAAATTAATTAGCAGAGATATTTTAATATTGTTATTTTCCCTTTCTCTATAATAGAAGTGTGAGAGATTAAAGGAAATTAGTAAAATGTATATGAAAATAATATATAAATGTATTAATAAATAAACAGTAACAGAAGGATATAACAACAACAAAGGCATGATATGAAAACAACAAGAACATGATATGAAAACTACAAAAACATGATATAAAAACAACAGTGATGCAAACAATGACTGATGAAGTGATTAAACTTATTCTAATATCTCCCTGTACACCACATTAAGATTGCAAACACTTTCAGAGTGCTTGACTAATTTCCCCTGTGATGAAGTACTTAGAACTTTAACTGTAACATCACATGCTCTTCAAACTCGAGAGAAAGCAACATATAACTGACCATGTGCAAAAACGGGTTCAGGTAAGAATATGCCTACTTTGTCTAGAGCAGTGATGGCAAACTTTTTGAGCTCGGCGTGTCAGCATTTTGAAAAACCCTAACTTAACTCTGGTGCCATGTCACATATAGAAATTTTTTGATATTTGCAACCATAGTAAAACAAAGATTGATTATTTTGATATTTGTTTTATATATTTAAATGCCATTTAAAAAAGAAAAATCAACCAAAAAAATGAGTTTGCGTGTCACCTCTGACACGCTTGTCATACGTTCACCATCAGTCTAGAGTTTGTCCTTGTGATTTATCAATAGTCATCACAAATGCTGGCATCAGGGGAAACTGTCGTTGAATCAATTTAAATGGGAGGCCAGTGTCAGATGGGGACAAATCAATTCTTGGAATCAGAACAGCCTCTCCCTCTGAAGATCCTGTTAATACTTCAGCTTCGATAATGTTAGGTTGTAATCCTTTGATAATAAATCTGGTACCATTACAAAGACCCCATTTACTATTGAGATTTCTCAATAGCATGATGATTGCACCCACTTTCAATTTTAATTTATGACACAGCATTCCCGAAGGAGTAATACTATTAAGAAATTTGATGAGAAAATTTTCCTTGTCAGCATCATCTGTGGAATCAATGGAATCATCACTCAAATGTGTGTGAAAATCTCCATCGAATATATCCAAAATTTCTTCATTTAATTTTTGAACATGCTCATTTTTTGGACAAAGAATTGTATGTTTAGATATATGTTTAATACTATCTATAGCAGTGGTTCTCAACCTTGGCTGCACATTAGAATCACCTGGGAATCTTTTTAAAATCCTGATTCCTGGGCCTCATCCTCCGGAAATTGTTTCTGTGTTATGGGGTGGGGCCACAACATTAGTAACAAAGAAACAGAATTTAAACTTCATTGTGGGGAGACGCTACAGTGTTTTGGACAGGTTCAAGCCTTGGACTGACTAATTGCCAAGTGCAAGTCCCAGCTTGGAGGGCAGGGCCCTCCCAGCACAATTATAGCCAACAGCTATAGTTGTAAGCTTGAACCTATGGTCTGAACACACATGGCCCCACGTGCCTGAGTGATGTAGGCTTGATAGAGTTCAGGTGCATGTAGTTGAGTAGTACTTTGCCTAGTAGCATCTGCTATAAAATAAAGGCATGGCTGTGAGCATGGTTGCTGTCTCTCAGAGAAGCAGCGTCTCACTGAGACCCGGCTTTCATTCTCTTGTCTGTCTTTTCTAAGCCTTTCAGCCGCTCCCACTCAGGTTCACCCCTGGCCATGCTGGTGCGTGGCACACTTTAGAAAGATCTGCCTCCATGCTCCGAGGGCGGGTTCCTGCCTCAAACCCCGCCCTTACAGGAAACAGCTTGGGGGAGGGCGCAGCCATTGCCAAGACAACCCCTGCAGGACTGACTTCCTTCCACTTGGTTGCAGCGGTTCTTCTGGATGTGATGAACACCACCCATGGTTTTTAAATAAGTAGATTCTTTTAGGACATCAATATATAACATTCTTATGTAGCTATACTAACTGCATATTTTTTACAAGAACATCCCATTCTATTATCTAAATTTATTATTCACTAGAGGTCCAGGGCATGAAATTCATGCATGGGAAGGGGGGGCAGCCTATACCATCTCCAATTCAGGACCCCTGGGGACCCTGGAGATTGGGCCTAAACCAGCAGTCGGACATCCTTCTCACAATCCTGGATGCTGGTTCCTAATCACTCACCTGCCTGCCTGGTCACCCCTAAATGCCCCCCTGCCAGCCTGATTGCTCCTCACTATCTCTGCATGCCAGCCTGGTAGCTCCTAACTCCCCCCTCCTCCTGCTGACCTGGTCTCTTCTTACTGCACCCCTGCCATCCTGGTCACCCCCAACTGCCCCACTCTGCTGGCCTGTTTGCCCCCAACTGCCCACCCCCACCAGCCTAGTTGCCCCTCACTGTCCCCACCCTGCTGGCCTGGTTGCCCCCAACTGCCTTCCCCTGCCAGCCTGGTTGCCCCCAACTGCCTCCTCTGCTGGTCTGGTTGCCCCATGCAGCCTGCTGTCCAGTTGTTTGGTCATCCCTCACTAACCCCCCTGCCAGCCTGGTCATAGGCAGCCATCTAGTGAGGATGTGAGGGTTAATTTGCATACTACCTCTTTATTATATAAGATTGTACAGATGTATATGTATCAGAATTTCTGTCTTCCTACATTTTTGCTCTATGAAATATATGTCACTAAGGTATATATACATAAGTACACAACAAAGCTGGTTTAAATTATTCTTAAATCTAAATTTTAAGTTACAAATTTTCTCTCATCTAATAAGAAGTATAATGCATTAAATTACTTGATGAAGAATATAGGGAAAGGCAAAATATAATTGACTTGGGAGCAGAATAGTTATTTTGGAAATGATGAGTAAAAATTTATGTTTTGGTTGTAACCAGGAATAAATGAAATCTTAAAATTTTTCACATTTTAATTGTAAATCATTATGAATGTATACATGTCTATAATATATTCTTTTCACCTGATCTTGTGGAAATACTAGAAGCCCGGTGCACAAATTTGTGCACGGGTGGGGTACATTCGGCCCATCCCAATGGGGACCAATCAGGGTGGGGCCAGACGGGGTGTCTAATGCTGGTAGCTATAGCTTTTCTCCAGCTGGATCTAATTATACTTTAAAGATGGTCAAAAGAAAACCCACAACAGAACTGTTTTGCATTTCACAAGCCATGAGATGAAGTTATGTGTTGTTTGCAAATGTATATCAAGATGGATGATGACCCTTTAATGATTTTTATGTTCTTCCTTGGGCACTACCCTTAGTTTCCCAATATGATCTTCATGTCTGTTTGTTTAAAAGTTTTTCTGTTTTTGAATTTGCTTACCCTTCGCTGTTGCTCCTGGTAGTCTGTGGGTCCTCTTAGCCGCCCCATCTAAAGAGCGATTGAAAGCTCATCTAATTTGCAAGGCACCGCAATTTCACAAAATCCCCATCCAGCCTCTCTATACTCCTCAGCAAAGGGCCGCCATCCTGTTAATGCTTAGGTTGCCTTTTTGGCTAACTTGGAAGGTATCCTGGGGCTGTGGGACATGGAGGAAGAATTCCACACCTTGGCTGCAGTATTAGCAGAGCCCTCTGGAGACTCTGGTCAGGGTCTAAAGGGACTGATAATTATTTTCTTGTGCTTA